GAAAGAACCAGAACATCCCTGGACAAAAGAGGAAACCATGGAGCTCCCCATAAGTGAGCACGAAGAGCAGCTTGTTCTGAAGGAAGAGGCTAAATATGAAGCAGAGAAACCTTTCCCATGTTTGACATGTGGAAAAAACTTTCTAAAAAAAGAACATTTGATGGTTCATATGAGAACTCACACAGGTCAGAAGATTCATGAATGTCCATTCTGTGGAAAAATGTTTCGAAAGAAATCTGATCTTGATACACACATAAGAAATCACACAGGTGAAAAGCCTTTTTCCTGTACCATTTGTAGCAAGAAGTTTACTGAAAGAAGTCATTTAACTTCTCACGTGAGAATTCACACAGGTGAGAAGCCTTTTGAATGTCTGTCCTGTGGAAAACGCTTCACTCAGAAATCTAATCTTGATAAACACTTCAGAATTCACACAGGTGAGAAGCCTTTTTCCTGCACTATTTGTAACAAGAATTTCACTGAAACCAGTACTTTAAATAATCACATGAGAATACACACTGGTGAAAAGCCTTTTCAATGTTTGACCTGTGGAAAACGCTTCATCTCTAAATCTGATCTTAATACTCACATTAGAATTCACACAGGGGAGAAGCCTTTTTCCTGCACGATTTGTGGCAAAAATTTTACTCTAAAACATAATTTGACTACTCACATGAGAATTCACACCGGTGATAAACCTTTTTCCTGTACCATTTGTAACAAGAATTTTACTGACAAGAGTAATTTGACTTCTCACATCAGAATTCATACAGGTGAGAAGCCCTTTGAATGTCTGTACTGTGGAAAAAGCTTTACTCATAAATCTAGTCTTGATAAACACAAGAGACTTCACACAGGTGAAAAGCTGTTATCCTGAATAAATTGTGACAAAGGTTTTAAAAAAGGTAAGATGAATTAAGTTTGCTGTCCAACAAGCAGTTGAGAAGTTATATGTTTGAATTGAAAATAATTGAAAAATTTGGCAGGGTGTGGCACAGTTTTTTCTGTATGAATTTATTGAGGAAAAAAACTTTTTGGGGACTAAGAAACATTTAGTTGATCAATAAGCTTTTGTTTAGCAAAAAGTCCAGAAACACACTTTAATTCAGATGAAAATACCCTCAGATGAAAATAAAAGCAAAAGTAGGACAGATTTAATGTGCTTTGCTCAGTTTTAATGATGTTTTTGGAGGATTTTTTAAAGGTCGGCTGCAAATGATCAGAGTCTAGCTAATTCAGTGTCTTGTTGGCTTTCATTAGCAATGCATCAATCAGCCCTGCTACGTGTGTTGTTGAAACCAGGCCCACCAAAACTCTTTGTTTTTGGCCACAGTGTTACAGCTATGGTGAATAGATATTAGAATGAACTAGATCATCTATAGAGGAGTCTCAGATGAAGATTTGGGACATATAGAAGTGTGTGTCAGTCTCAGAGTTA